CCTTTTCCTTTTCCTTTTCCTTTTCCTTTTCCTTTTCCTTTTCCTTTTCCTTTTCCTTTTCCTTTTCCTTTTCCTTTTCCTTTTCCTTTTCCTTTGATTTTCTCAAGACATTAGCATACTCTGTTAAATAAGCATCTGTATTTTGTCTAGTTCTTGTAGAGCTAAATGTTTTCAGTGTGAGAAACTATATCAGAATCAGTACCAGGTTATTTGTGTGCCTTAGTTTTGGTATACAGTGGGGCAAAATTTTGAAATGTTAGGTTATATTAATAAACTTTCTTCACATGTTAGTCTGTATTMATACTCTTAATTGTACTATTTTTCAAGCTTTTGTTTTGTACTTTTCTTATTGTTCATACAGGACCATGTTGATCCTTGGTTTAGTCCATTAATGAGTGGAAGTATACTAGGATGATTTTAGCTCATAGGATGGAATGAGGCAAAAATCATACAGAGATTTTTCTACAAAATCAGCATGTAAGCATGTAAGCCTATAAAACAAGGAGTTATACTTTAAAGCTTGGTAACTAGATTATGAAGTACCCTTTTTTTTTGTCTGTTACTCATACGATGCCTTGTCAATGAATGCAGAGAACACATTTCTCTCTGCCTTTGTAGTTTTCAGAAATATTATTTGTTCTTACTTTTTTCTCTGACTTTTGAAGAGCATTCTTTAATCTTCATAAATCTTATTAGGCAGATCTTTAAGGGCAGAAAAGTATCACTAATGGTACAAAATCTAAGCATTAACAACACCAGATTCTGAAACTCTGTTGTGGTCAATAATTGGTAGAGTATGAGTTAGACATTGTTTTAAAAAATTATTGTTACTTCACACCTTAACTGCTTTATAATGAGATAATAATTCACTTTCATGTTTTATGTTTCATGTATTTTTTAAAATACAGGTTTATAATGTAGCTCATTGGGTGATCTGCATACATGAGACAATTATGTTGTCCCTTCCAAAGGTTGGAAGAGACCTCAGAGGTCATCTAGTCCAACCGTCCTGCACACACAGGGTCACCTAGAGCACGGGGCACAGGACTGCGTCCAGCCAGGTTTCGAACATCTCCAGAGAAGGAGACTCCACAACCGCTCTGGGCAGCCTGTTCCAGGGCTCTGTCACCCTYACTGTTAAGAAATTTTTCCTTAAGTTCCTTGGAAACATGTATCACTTGGCTTGGAATCACATGTATCACATTAGTTTGGAAACATGTATCGCTTCTTCGAACTACAAGGTCGATTTTGACCCTTTTTGAAAGATTGAAGAAGAGCTATGTTCRTACATAGTATGAGAACATCAAGAAAATGTCTTTATTTTAGAAATCTTATTTAATGCAGCTTCAAAATTAGGAATGATTTAACAGGTTTCAGCCCAGTCATAAACATATCATGTGTCTTCACTTTAAGCCATAAATATTCATCAAGGTTTATCTGAATCCATACCTTAACAGGCCTTATGATCTAGTGGCAGAACTATATTGTGAAAGTGTGCTCTCCTCTGCTTTCTTTCTGTTTTTACAAAGAAATTTCATGCTTTGTGTGTGTGTGTGCCAGAGGCACAGGCTGTGTTTTTAATTTTGAGGGAGAAGCAATCTGTGACTCCTGATTTTACACAACCAACTTTTTTTTTTTTTTTCTTTTAATGATCAATGCTTTGTATCTGCTATGTTCATAGTTACAAAAATTCCAAAAAGTAGATTTTTTGAAATGATTTTTAATGTTTGATTTTGAAAATTTAAATTCTAGGCTATTCTAATTTTAGTAATAGAAATAGTCTTAATTATTTGTAAAATAACTCTTTTATGAATTATTTCAGTAAATCAAAAATATTTCCKTACTAGAATACTGTATGTGGTTTTCTTAAAATACTCATTTCATTTAAAAGTTTATGGCTTTTATTTTGCTTTTACTAAATCACCTTAAGATTCAAGCTGATATTAGAAGCTGAAAGGCTAGTTTTATCAATAGATCACATTCTAGATAAGTCTGCATGATTTGTGTATGCTGAAATCATTGTGTGTATGTGTATGTTTATACACACGTGTCCATATAAACATACACATACACACATATATAAGTGTTTATAGCATGCCCCTAAAACTAAGTGCAAGCGTGAACAGGCATGCAAAACTAAGAAAGAAGTAATTAATGTTTATTTCCTGATAATGAGTTCTGCATTGATGTATCTGATCAGTTGTTGATATTTTCTTGTGTATTCAGTTATCAAGGTGTTTGGGGATTTTTTTTGTTTTTGGTTTTGTTTTTTTTTAATTATTTTTGCTGTTTATTTGTCTGGAAAGCAGTGTAGATAAAGATGAATTTTTGAGGTGATTTTACCTTACCTCATCTTTACCAAATACAATTAATGATAACAATAAAATTTTGGGGGAACATAATCTATACATCTTTCCTCTTTTGAGATGCTTGTTTTTGATCCTCTTTTCTTTCATATACTTTTTTCCCCATTTTCTTAACAGATTTTGGGCCTCAGTTTTTATAGCCATTAAAAAAAAAAAAAAAAAAAAAAAAAAAAAAAAAAAAAAAAAAAAAAAAAAAAAAAAGCAGGGGAGGGGAAGAGGACCCTTTCAATATTTCTGTCTAGTCATATTGAAAAGACAGGTAACTAATATGTTTTGATTAGATGTACTTTTCACTGATGCCTCTATTGACATTAGTACTGTAGTGGCCAATTTCTTTTCTCAGTTTCTAGACTGCTCTGACAAATATTATCTCCCTGCACCCCTCCCGGTTCTTTGCTACAGCAGAAATATGCACCGTTCTGTACATAGACGTACATATTAGACTAATGTAAGAATCAGCTCAAGGTTACCACTTTATTAGATGCTCTCATGAGCTTTCAGGGGTCACTTCTTCCATTAGCATGAGTGAGCTTTGGAGCTTTAAGCCTTGGAGGCTTTGTCAGTTATTTACCTTCCTTCTTAGTAAGAATCTCTGAAATCCTTTCGGCATCTTTGTATTCTTTGAAAAAGAAAGTGTTTCCTACAAGCTTGAGYGCGCATGCAAGACATAGCCATAGTTGACTAGACCAATAGCACCTTCCCCCAGCTAGTTCTGATGAGCACAGTGGCTGGAAAAAACACTGTTTTGGATGAGTATTTTCATGGCAGAATTGAATAATTTTGCTGAGGCTAAACTACTTCAGTTTCTGAAGCTCCCTGTGTAGAATGCTTCATGATCCCTGAAGCAATTTAAAATACATTAGGTAGGTGAATGAAAAGTGAGGCATATAAGGTAGTATTTTTCATCTTAGTTTTTCATAACACAGAGATAAACATTTTTGTTGTGTCACTAGACCAACAGTTCATTTAATCAAGAACCTTGTCTCAGTCAGTGCCAGATATGTTACACTGTAATAGAGCATTCGATACATACAGGAAAAAAAAACCAATTCTTCCTAATCTATCAAAGATTCCAAACCTAGCTAGAGATCTTAGTCTCTGAAGCATGAGAAATAAGAAATTGTGCTTAGTGATCTATGCAAGTTTATAACAGTACATGTGTTTTTGATGATAATCTCTGCCCTTAAATACACATGCATGTA